GGGACCGAGGGCACGCGTTGTCGGGGTTCGACGGAGCTGGGGCTGCCGTGGGGCCGATGGTTGCGGGGAGCTCTGCTCGCACTGCTGGCGACGAGGGGTGTTGGGGGCACCCGGCGTGGGTTCCTCCCGGTGCCGGGCGGTGTGGCTGTCCCCGGCTGCGTGGGACCCCCCGGCATTGTGGTGGGGGAGGTGGCAGCGGGGACAATGAAACTGGCAGCCACCCGCCCTCCTGCATCCTCCTGCACTCTCCTGAACCCCTCCAGGCTCACCCCGACATCATGGGAACTCTGTAATCAAGGGGGTGCAGGATCTGGGATGATGATGCCTGTTGGAAATGCTGGTCCCATAGAGGACAGGGATGGGTTCCCCCAGCTAGACCTCTGCCAGCTTCCCACAGCATCCTTCCTCGTCCCAAAGGTTGTGTCCCCTTGTGCTGAAGGCAATGCTCCTGTAGGGGAATGTTCATGTGGGGGAGCACTCTGAGACCCTCAGACCTCAGCACGTTGCTCTGTACTGAAGAGCTCTTTGGTGAGGTCTGAAATTATCTGCTGATGTGTTATTATCATTACTATTGTCATTTTTTGATGTGCTCATGCTGCCCTAGTGCCTCGCCACTGACCTCGGGGGAGGTTTTTGCTATCGGATGTGCTGTGCTTACTGCTGTGGGTGTTGTGATCGCTGCAGGGCGGCAGGGGAAGGAGGGAGGGCAGAAACACCCCGTGGTGCTGCTCTGCCCCAGCACAGGTGGCCCTTTGCAGATCCAGCTGTGAGAGTCCCCACCTGGGACCACAGAACCCACTGGTGGATGTGCAGGGGGAGCAGGCACGGGGCTCACACAGCTCTGCAGCCAACAAGTGCCTTTATTTACAGCACTTGCAGGCTTGGTCGCTTCTCTACATCATGGAAAAAATCCCACTCTTTGCTATGATCTGTAAGATCAGATATTTCTGGGCTGGTTTGTGACTCTGAGAGCTCTCAAGAGCAAGCATAGGACAGGGAGCAACAACAGCCCCAAGGCCCCGGGTGTTGAGAGCCCCACATTTACTGAAACACGGAAATTTGTCATTTGCCTACATACGCCTCCCTTCCTGCACTTGCCCGCTCTCAAGCTCCCCTGCTCAGCCCTGTGTCACTGCTCCCCAACAGTCATTACCCATAAACAGCCCTGCTGCTGCGACTGAAGTCATTCTGAAAGTAGCATCTAAAATCCCCGTTATGGCTAAAAGGCATAAGAGCAGGCACGGGGCCACTCCTGCCCATGTTCTCATGTCCAGACTACCAAGGGGCAGGATGGGAGACCTTCACCTCCCTCTGCTGATGGGTGGACTTGCAGAGTTGGTCCCTTGAGGTTTCTTGGGGTTAGGGGAGACTTCAAACCCTAGGTCAAGCCCAGCCAGAAGCCATGTGCAGGTCATGGGGCTGGGGACTCTAATGGGGCTGGGGGCTGCAGAGGCTTTTGAGGCCAGTCCCAGGTTTGAGGTGACCTTGAGGAGCTGCTGCTGGGCTGGGTCTGGTGGGTGGATGACATACCAGGAGCCACTGTGTGCCCCGGGGGAGGCGCCTTGGCAGCCTCATCCTTCCCTGGCACCAGGCTGCGGGCAGCAGGGTGATAAGGGAGGCACAGAGAGAACCCAGCCCTGAGCTGCGGTGCTGCCCCTGGGGTTTCCTTCCCCTTCTGCTCCATCCACCCGTGCTTGGCCACTCACGCTTTGGTCACGCTCCTGGCGTGAGAGAGGCCAAGTTGCCATCCCAAAAGGTCGGGGCTGAGGCTTGGCCGCTTTCCAGGGCTGGGGTGAATTTATTTTGAAGTGCTGGGAACTGTACTTAGCACCAGGAGTCAGGGAAGGGCCAGAATGCAAAACTCGGGGCTGTCAACAGTGTGAAGTGTTTGCCTCTGCTCTTCGGCACAGATCTGACTGTAGGAGAGGTGATAATCACCTCCTAACACAACCATCACCATCACTGGAGGAAATACAGCAGCAGGGTTAAAGATAGGTCCCACGGACCTGTGCCAGCATTGCTCTGGCAGCACTGAGCATCTGCTGCAGGTCCTGAGAGGTGTTACAGTCATGGACCAAATCCTGGCCCCCTTCTCCACAGCCACAAAGCAAAGCCTCCTCCCCAGGAGCAGAATCAGGATTTAAATACTCATTTCCTGCCTCTTTGTGATTTCCTTTGCTAGGTTGCATAGTTGAATTGCTTAACGTACTTGTAAAACAGGAAAAGAGGAAGAAAAATACAGTCCAAAACCCCACCTCACACTAAGAGCTGAAGCAGAGGCTGCAGCTACCTCGGCTGCCCACACTGTGCAGCTGCTCTGCACTGGTGCTCCCCAGCTCAGAACCCTTGGAGATGATTCAGGTCCTGTTGGAAATCCCTATTAATCCATCCATAAACAGTTCTGCTTCAGACTATTAGAAATATTTAGTTCTAAGAATGTAGATACTTTTGGTTTTTCAATAGCTGGAAGGTATTTTTGGCAGAGGTTTCCAAGAACTTACAGGATAAGGATAAGCTATGCTGTGGATGGCCCCCACCTGCAGGATGTATCAGGCTGCTTCTTCCCCTGGCCAAAGCTGTTCCAGCTGGAGCAATTCCCAGCCTGATCCTTGCACACACTGTGGATTCCAGGATGATTTTCCAGCTCTCCAGAATGCTCCAGGTGATACCAGAGGTTCGGGTGCCACAAAGCTTCTATGGAAGTGACAGTGGAAAGTCCCTCCATATTTCAGGGCTTTCAGCCAAATTTTGCTGTTCACCACAGAGGTGGAGCTTTTATTCCAAAGGACAATTGAGTGCTTATGACTAAAATTAGCTGTTGATGCTATTTTAATTGCTCCTAGAGGTAGGAAGATGCCTCACTCATAGCCTCAGGACAAGTATTTAGATTTGTCTGTTGATGCTGGTGAACCTGTTGCTCGCTTCACCTATTTCTGAGTTCAGTGCTGGTGTCTCAAATCATCTTCCTTTAGAAGCTGAGGGGCTCTGAGATCCCATCCTGCTGGATCTGGGGTGTGTGGTAGAGGTGAAGATTCCCTGGGTTTGTGCTGGGAACATTGCCTGTGCTATGGAGGTGACCAGCCCTGGACTCTCTGTCTTTAGGCATCACTTATGACAGTGAGCAGGACAAATGCAGCAGAGGTGGTTTGCTTTGGGGCTTTGGGGTCCCTCCTGAAGGTGGTAACAGCATCCTGCTCTCAACCCTGCTGAGATCATCCAAAACACTTGAGGTCTGTGTCATCCACCTCTGTCAGGAGGATCCTTCTACACAGCCTTTGCTTTGTTGCAGTAAAAAAAAAGGATATGGGGTGTGGGGCTAGGGGAGGAGGCCTTTTGGGACTCCTGTGATGCCCTCAGGACTGCAGAGCCTCGGTTGTGTCATTCATCTCTTCCCTTGCCCCTCATCCCCCGGCTTCAAAACCCATCACAGGACACTGCTACCTTAAATACCAGGGAGATGCACACTGGCACAAGGTGTGTCAGGGGACAGGTGAGGGCTCCTGGGGACACCTGCCGGATCCAGCAGCATCCCAGGGCACCCCACGCTTTCAGGGACAAGGAGGACAAGCCCTGTGAGCTCTGCCGGTGCCCCCTCGCCTGGGCCACGATCAGCGCCGCGGCTGCTCATGCCATAGAAGGGAAGATAAAGCCGCGGCTTTCCAGGGCTCGGAGCTCTCCTGCTCGCTGGAACTGCGCCTCCCTCCAGCTCCAGAAGGGGGGCTGCAGCGGGGGCGGAGACAGGGCCGTCTCCTTGCTTTCCCTTGCTTTTTTCCCAAGCCAGGCTCCCAAATCCGGGCTGTATTTGGCTGTGCGCGGGGCCGAGCCGGGGAGCAGCCGGCCCGGCGGGTCCCGCCGGCAGCAGGGCTGCTTTCCTCGGGGATGGGCGTTTTTAGGGACAGCTCTGCCGGGGCTGGAGAGCAGCACCGTGTCTTCAGGTGAATTTTCTCACCCCTCGTGCATCTACGCCATAAACAGAAGCGCAGCTCAATGATGGGCACCAGATTTGCCCTGCGCCAGCGAGGCTGAGCCGTGAGAGCCTGCGAGATTTGCTTCTATCTTTCAGCAACTGATAAAAATATACCCACTCCTTTTTTTTTTTCCCCCTCTTCTCCCCTCCAAGTGACTAAATTAAACCCATGCAGGCTGGAAGGCATCCCACGGAGCTGTGGTGCTGGAGGCAGCTCCCGGCTCTGGGTAATCTCAGCCCCGTGGCAGGAGTGCGGGGCTGTGCAGCACATTCCTGCACTCCTGAGGTCATTGCTTGGCCGCCGCCTGCTCTCGCCTGCTGCCAGCCCTGCACGGGGGCTCTATCGGCCCTGATTTATGGTTATTTTTCATTTCTCACTCCTGCTCCAGCTGAGTCAAAGCCCATCTGTCTAAGGCCCTGGCAGAGGCGTGTGTTTGGGGAGCTGCAAGGTGCCAGGGACCAAACTGACCTGAGCATCCCAGGACAGGAGGGAAGTGGCAAGGGAGTGCCAAAGCTGGAGCCCTCCCAAGTGCTGCCTGCTCTCTCCCACCAAGAGTTTTCCTGCTGGAGCCCATTTTGCACCAGCACCTTGTCTGTGGGGGTGGATCCCCCAGGTTTTCCAGCCGAGTGCGACATGGTGAACTGTCTGGGATGCAGGGAATTGGCAGGAGCTTGAGGCTGCCTGATGGGCAGTACCTGCACACCCATGGGTGCTGGGAGAGCGCAGGGGGCTGGGGAGGGACTGCTGCTTCCCGAGGACCTGTGTTTTAGCAGAGCTGATGCAGGCTCAGGGCAGGGTTCTCTGCCTGCAGCCACCTGCCCCACTCTGTTCCCCCCTGCTCCAGCCCCATCTCTCTCTGCCAGAGACAGCTAAAAGCCCAGCAGCAGAGGGGATCGGCTTCCCAGGAGCTCTCGGCCCTGAAGACACAGAATGGTGAGAAAAAAAAGTGTTTTTCCCCTGCTTTGCTTTCTCAGAGTGATATTAAGGAAACACTGGGCAGGCTCCAGCATGGCACCAGGGAGGATAGGGATGATGTACATGCATGCTGGTGCAGGAGGGCAAACAGGACACCCCAGAGACAACAGCATCCCCTCCTCTCAGTCAGACAGGTCATCCCCAGAAAAGGAGACCTGACAAGCTCTGTGTCCTCTCTGAGCCTGCCCGCACCTTCCCAATTAGGGCTAATTTGGACCTGTGAGACGGAGGGAGGTGTTTCTCCAGGGAAGAGGGCAGTGCTGAACCCAGCCCACGGCCCCGGCAGGTTCAGCTGCCCAGGATGTGCAGGCAGCCCAGCCACAGGGAGGCAGCCAGGGCTGTTTCAGCCGTGTTTGTCTTGCAGCCAATGCCTCCCTGCTTCCTGAGCACGGGGAGAAGGCGGCATGGTGGGCGGAGTGGTGGGCGGGTGGTGGGTTCTTTCTCGGCGGGGAGGAGGAGGAGGAGGAGCGGCTGCGGGATGCTGGCCAGGCAGGCACTGCGAGCATCTCCCAGGACACTGAGGTCCAGGTGAGCTGGAAGGGCTGGTGCTGCTGGAGGCAGCAGCTGGGCATGGAGCATGTCACCAGCCTGGTCTTCCCTGGCATGTGCTGGGTTGGGCTTTCCCATTTCTGGGAGAAGGACAGATCTAAGAAAGGGTGAGGAAGCCCAAAGCTCTGCATCCCTTACACTGAGGCTTCTCATCCAATTGTTTCCCAGGTGGAAAAGGGAAAAGAGCTGGAGCTGAAGGAACAGCTTGATGCCCTGAGGAGAGAGCACACGGAAACCCTGCAAGGTGCATGCCAGGGCAGCAGGGCTCCCTGCAGCTCCCCTCTCCTCTCCTCGCTTCTGCCGTGTCCCTTTGGCTGCCTGTGGGGTCATAGGGATGCTGTTCCCTGCTCTCCACTGCTGTGGCACTCAGCTCATGTTCCCCCACAGAGCTCCAGGGAGCACATGAGCAGGAGAAGCTGCTGCTGACAGAGTCCCACCACAGGTCTGAGGCAGTCTTACAGGTACCAGCAGAGAAATCCATGGGGAGGGGGGGATTGTGAACCATCTGCTTGTTCTGCCGTGGTGCCCCACATTCTCCAGTGGTCACCTCAGTCCCCAGTGTGCTCGGGGATCACACCAGCTCTTCCAGCCCTGGTGTTATTTGGGTACCACAGCCCAGCAGTCCCCAGCTCAGAAAGAAATCCCAGACACCTCTCATTCTGCTTTTTCCCCTGGTTCTCCTAGGAGAAAATTCAGGAACTGAATTCCCAGCTGAAATCCTTCCAGGAGAGGATGAAACGGGTGGAGGAGTCACTCTTGAGAACAGACTACAAGAAGCACATCCAGGTGCAGGGAGGGGTGTTAGGGAGGGACCCGTTATGGGGTGCTGAGCCAAAGCCAAGGGGCCTCTCTGATGGACCCTGGCAGGGTGGGGCTGGAACCAGAGGGGAGCACAGCACAGCTGAAGGGGGGAGCAAAGCCTGCCCCGGGGACGTGTTTGGGTCCCTTGGACACAAGTGATGGCCCTGCAGGAGCACGGGAGCCCCAGCCCCTTCTGGGAGCAGGAGCTGGAGAGCCTGCACTTCGTCATCGAGATGAAGAACGAGCAAATCCATGGCCTGGACAAGAAGCTGCTGCACCTGGAGACTGTGGTGGGTTGAAAGCAGGGGGTCACAGGTGGGCTTTCCTCTTTTCAGCTCCTCTACCCACCTAAATTCTGCCCAGAAACTGCAGCTGGAGCAAAAGTGGATGGAGCACTCTTCCTCTCTTGCCGTGGTGGGGGGGATGGGGGAGCAATGCCACCAGGCCAGCATTTCACCCAAAATGGAGTGGCAGGGGGCTCAGAAGTCTTCCCAGCTCTCACCTCACCCTCATACACCTTTCCAGGAGGAGAGGAACCTTTTGCTGGAGGAGAAGGTGAAAACCCTCCAGCAGGAGAACGAGGACCTGCACGTTCGCACTCAGAACCACTTGGTGGTGGCGAGGTAGGTCGCGGGCAGCCGGTGCACGGGTGGCACCTTCGTGGGGGGACAGGAGGAGGGGTGGCAGCACACGGCAGCCGAGGGCGGCCCGGCAGCTGAGCCTGTGCCCGCAGGCAGCTGTCCGAGGAGCTGCGGAGCGCCCGCGGGGCGCTGGAGAAGGAGGCGCAGCTGCTGGACCAGGCTCGCCGGGAGAAGGAGGAGCTGCTCTACCGAGTGCTCAACGCCGGGGACGGCCCCTTCCCCCTGGCTACCGGCGAGGCGTCTCTCATCGCCACGTAGCACCGACGGCACCGGGACCGCCGGGGCTGCCCTGCGAGCCCAGGGCTGCTCCACCGGCGCCCCCCGGTCGGGGCAGGGCTCCGGGCTGGCCGAGCCCTCGGGGCGCCTCTCGGACCGCAGTGATGGAGCACTTCACGGGACGCTTGCGCCTGGATTTGCCCAGCCCGTGTGGGGCTGCAGAGGGACCTTGGCCTCCCACCCACGCAGTCCCTGCGCCCCTTCCTCTGGTGAGGGGCTGGCGGGGGCTGGAAGGGGTCAGCCAGGACACGCAGACTTGCATTGGGCCTCATCTGACCCAGCGCTTGGCTCCGAGCATAAACAGCACCAGTGCTGCCCCAGGGCGTGAGGATGATGAGGAGGCCACTAGGACAGGATGGGGACAAGCACCGGGAGGATGAGGAGGGCACTGGGGACATGGTGTTAACCTCACCAGGAAGGGCCCCCACCCGTGCCTTCCTATTCCCATCACCTCCTCCACCTTCAGCAAATGTCTCCCAGGTACAGCTCCTGCAGCTCAGTCATGTCCCAGCTCACTGCCACAAAGACCCCAAGCCCTACTCATCCCTGCTGCCCATCAGCAGCACCACCAGTCCCATCTTCTCCCACAAAATCTGGACAGAGTCTGCACCTCAGGGAGCAGAGCATCTTCCCAGGGGGTACCAGGCTTTGTCAGGTCACATCCCTCTGCTTGAGGCAGGACATCCCCATCAGGGAAGATGCTGCCAGCACAGCTGTGGGTCAGGGCTGGATGCACACAAGCACTTTCCCCTGGGTGCACGAGTGTGGTGGGAGTCACTGCTCTGGGGCTGTCACAGGCCTGTCCCCTCCCCAGGGCTGTTTAGCCAGAGCTGTACGTGTGTGTGGGTGGGTGTGTGAGTGTGGTGTGTCTGTGTGTGTGTGTTTGTGTGTGTGTGTGTGTGCACCAGCCAAGGTGCTGCTGCCTGTAATGACTGCAGATCTGTAAGAAGCAGCAGCCTCAGGAATCCCATGTCAATGTTTTGGGGGACTGGTGCAGGAGTGCCCCAGAATGGGGCTGTGTGCTCCACACCCCACACAGTGGGAAGAAGGGGAAGGGTGGGAGTTGGCACCACAAAGACTCAACAAGGAAGCTCCAAATGAGGCCCTTAAGGCTGATCCCCATTTTCCTGTTCCTTCCCTCTTTTCCTTCATTTCAATGGCCTCCCAGCTCAGGGCAGACCTGGACCCTCCCAGCATCAGGGCCACTGCATCAGCCACTTCCGTCCTTTGTGCTGACCCTAATCAGAAATTCAGCAGCTGAATGGGCAGTCAGGAAGACAATGTGGATGGGGGTCCAGCTCTGACTCACAAACCTCCATGGAGTGGCCAGAGGGGGAAATGGGGGAGCCTGTTGTGTGCCACCAGGGCATCCTCTGCTCCACACATCATCTGTGCCTCCCGCAGGTGCTGTAGCACCAAAGCAGGGGAAAGCCCAGCAAATCCTGCCTGGTTATGGCTGAAGGGATCAGGATTTGTGGACAGAGGGATATGGAGGCTGGTGGGGTCTAGGATCCTGCTCTGGACACCTGGTACCATGTCCCAGAGCCCCAAAGGCAGATCCTGCGTGGGACTTGGAAGAATGTGCCCGACTCTGGGAAAGGGGACACTGGGAACTGAGGAGGAGGAATAAATGAGTGCAGAAAAAGGACTTGCACACTATGAAAGCAGGAAAGCCTGGACCAGTACCTTGGCAGTCATGGGGGGTGATAGGTCCTGGGTGCCCAGGTGAAATGGAGGATCAGGGCAGCACAAGAATCCTCTGCCTCATTGTGAGCAGTTGAAGGAGCAGGGTGGGCAAAGGCAAGGGGGTCTGTGGGGGGCTGCAGGGAAAGCTTTCAAAGGAAAAAAAAAAACCAAAAACACAGCCCAGTAACAGCAGCAGAACTGCTTGTGTGCTTTATCCTCTCCAAACAGAACTCTGCCTGCAGGGGCTTGCTGTGAGGATTTGGGTTGCTCAGGAAGGTTCACCAGGCTTGGGGAATCATCTCCTGCAGCTCTGGCAGGGCTGGTCCCCTCTGTGGGACAGGACCCACAGCCCAAGGGGCTTCCTTGCCCCCTGGGCACAGGATGGAGGGAGCCAGGCACTCAGGACCTAGCCATCCCCTTTTATTGCCCTGGAACAGATGGGCACAGGGCAGCCCCACGGGGCTCCAGGGGCACCTCCCTGGCTCTGCTTCCCAGCAGCTCCCGGGGACCTGTCCCTTCAGGACAGAGGCTCTCAGTGCTGTGCCAGATCCCATAGCCAAAGTAAATGAGGAAACCTGGAAAAGGGCAGAATAGGGTGTGTAGAGACCGTTTCTCTTCCTTCCCCTCCCAGCCACCAAGTGCTGGCCCTTTGGGCACATATCAGAGGACACGGTGCTCCTCACCACCGCTGGACATCCAAGGTCAGCATCTTCTCCCTCCCCACCACTGCTCAGAGCTACATTAGTGCCACGGGCTCTCAAACCACCAGAACTGCACCCAGAGGGGCTGGTGCCAGCTCTGTGGCCTGGTGAGTGGCCGTGCTTACCCACAGCCATCCAGAGCAGGTACTGCAGCCAGGCGGCCGCGCTGAGCCGGGCCACCAGCACAGCACTGCTGGAGATGCTGAGGAGAGGCAGGAAGGGCAGGCAGGGAACCTGCAGGGAGCACAAGGGTAAATTCCACAGCTAAATTCAGCTCTTTGCTGCTTTGGCTAGTTGTCCACAGGCAAGGGGAAGCCCAGCCTGGCTGTGAGGCTCAGAGATCCAAGCTGGGGCTGCAGCCTGTGCTGGAGAGGGATGCTTGTGGAGGGTGTTTTGGTTGTCAGGTCCTGCACTGGGGCAGGAGGTACTGCAGGATTTGAGGTGAGAGGCAGCAAAGCACTCGTAAAACTAAGCCAAGGTGTTAAGGCCAGGTATCTTTTTACTGAAGAGCAGCTCTGGTTCCTCAGCAGGCACTGGGATCAGCTGGGAGATGCCCCTTCAGCCCTCAGGTCATGGGGGAAGAACCCTCATGGTTCCTATGGAAAATCCCATGAGATCCATGCTGCCTCCAGTAGTACCTTGTTAATGTGGATGCAGCAAAGATGTGCCTGACCTAAAGCTGAGGGAACAGCCCCAAATGGCACCCTTTCCCCACAGGGCTGCAGCACTTGCCTGCTCTCTGTGCCCCAGGTCCTTCTTCCTGGGTACATCCCGAGGGCTGGGCTGGGTGCTCACCATGAAGAATGCTTTGTCCTGTCTCTGAGGCTGCCTCCAGATGAGAAGAGCTGCTGCCAGGATCCCCAGGAGAGGCAGGGCCAGAGCTGTGGTGCACCAGGCACCCCCAGCCCGCAGGCAGGGCAGCCCAGCAGTGCTCACCCAGCTCAGGGCACAGGCCAGGGCGGCTGCAGAGGGACCACAGTGTCAGGGCAGCTGCCCTGGGCTGGGCCCATCCCCCTGCCAGGCTGCCATGGTGCCAAAATGACAGCTGGGGGACACGGCTGGGTGGCTTCTCATGGTGGCTTCAGCTTTTCTCTCCAGTCTGGGAAGCAGAGGGAGTGGGAGGTTTCCTGAGGTCCTGCTGGGGCAGCCAGCTGTGTGGCAGTGAGGTGAGGGCAGGAAGGAGCCAGGCAGCCCCTGCACCTGCGGCTGGGTGGTTTCCACCAGGCCAGCCCTTGCTACAGCAGGGATGTCCCCCATGGGTCCCCCCAGGCCAGCTCCCTGTGGAGCCCATCCATCACTCCAGACACACCTACAGCTGCCAGAGCCCAGCCCACCACAGCAGAGGAGTGAGGGGTGGGATGGGGGGGTGGCTGGATCAGGTGGTTCCACCAGAGCTGCACAGTGGGGACCTTCCCCACAGGAGTGTCCCGAGGGCTGGGCTCAGGCCGATACCTGGGGAGCAGACGTTGGATGTCAGTGCACACATAAACCTGCAGCTGCCTTGTCCCAGGCACGGCCCACGTCAGAAGCTGGGTGAGCCCTGTCCCCTGTCCCCAGCAGTCTCACCTGAGCAGCAGCACACAGCCAGCCACCATGGAGTAGGCCAGCAGCGTGCCAATGGACATGGTGTCAACCAGGGCTTTCAGGTCGAAGAGAAGGGCCAGGAGAGCTGTGGGGAAGAGAAGCCCTTTCAGCCTCCAAGCAGAGCTGGCAGTGCTGCTGTGCCCACCTGAGTCATACTCTCCTGACCTCCCCACGTCCCCCTGACAGCCACTGCAACAGAACCTCAATGAACTGGTGATGCTTTGGTCATGAGCACAAAGCATCCTGTCACCTCCTGCCTGGCAGCGCAGAACCAGAGTCTGGGGCACCATTGAGGCCAGATGGTCCTCACCCACTGTGGGGAGATCTGTCTCTGGATGAAGAGACATGGCTCGAACAGCTGCAGCCAAGCTAGAGTCAAAGAGGACACCCACCAAGGCCTGCTCACAGTTAGGGGTAACCCAAGCACTCACCCACCTGCCACTGCCCCAGACACCAGAGTTGCCACCACCGGGCACTGACGGTGACTGACTTTGGCCAGAGGTTTGAAGAGGAGCCCATCTCGAGCCATTGCATACAGGATCCGTGGCATGGGGAACATGGAGCCCAGGAGGCTGCATGAGAGAGGGGAGGAGATGGGCGAGAAGAGGGGAGGAATCCAGGAGGTGCCATCCTGCCTTTTGTCCCTCCAAGGGAGCTCCCATTCATCTCTATGGCCCATAACCTTCTTGAGACCACCTACCAAGGTCATCACCTTCCTCACCATCAGATGAGGGACAGTGTCAGGGAAGAGATGTCTGCAGCCCCCTGTGCATGCCAGAACACCTCAGCTCACTCTTTTGGACATGGTGCCACTTCACCACTTCCTTCAGTGGCACACCAACGGGTTTGGCTGCTCTCCCTGATCAGGAAGGGCCAGGGTGGGAGCACCAGGGTTTGTGTGGAAGGGATTTTGGACAAACAGGAAAGGCAAGGAGGACTTCAGGAAAAAGGGGTTGGGGATATCTCCTGGATGTGTTACAGCTCCAGTAGCTGGTCTGAGCCACAGGAATGCCATCAGAGGACGCCCCTCACCTGGTGGTCAGGGCACAGAGTGACCCCGCAGCCACAGCGTACTTTGTACTGCTCCAGCCAATGTACTCAAAAGCCACTGGCAGTGGGCTCATGGTGTCTAGGAGGTAGTAGGGCATCATCAGGGTGAGGGCAGCAGACACCCCAGAGTAGGCCAGGAAGCAGATGAGGAGGGAGAGGATGATGCCCGTGGGGATGGATCTCTGTGGGTCCCTCACTTCTTCCCCTGGGGAGGACAAGCTCAGCTGTAGGAACAGAGGCTCATTTAAAGTGCATGGCATGCTAAGAGCCCAGCTCAGGCTGGAGAGCAGATCCTATATCCCCCCAAGAGAGGACACAGAGACCTAGCAAGGACCACTAGATTCATTCTCTGTCCCAGGGATATTGGGATAGAGAATGTCTCTGCTTCAGCATTAGCCCAGACATTCCACATGGACTCTTAGAAAGGGCAGGAGAGAGTGGCTGCAGCACAGAGCTGGGAATGTGCCCATTTCCCAGCCTCACACCAGTTCCCAGGACTGTGGGGACAGTCACTGCCTGCAGGGAGCATCACTCCCACCTCCCTTACCTGTGGTAGCAATGCAGTCAAATCCAACAAAGGCATAGAAACAGGTAGAGGCTCCAGCCAAGGTCCCAGTGAAACCGTAGGGCATGAAGCCTCCCACCCCAAAGGCACTGGTCGTGTTGTTGGCCGTGGACTGGTTCCTGGGAGGAGGAAGAAGAGTCAGGCAGTGCAGGGAGGTCAGTGCAATGGGGTCAAGCTGAACAGTCCATCCAACCCCCTCAACCCATAGCATCAACCCAGCAGGGCTTAGGACTTTGTCTCTTTGACACATTGCCAACAGGGAGAAATGGAGAACATGCTGTTTCCTGGGACAAAGCACTGGGGGGTTGACTCCCCCCCACTCTGAAGGCAGCACAGGGAGAGTGAAGCCCCTCATACCCAGCCTCCTGGGCAGCTGCCTGTGGCAGGTCGTCCTCCCTGAGCTTCCAGTTGCTCATGTGGCCTTTGATGAAGCCACTCACTGTGACAAAGAGCAGGATGAGCACGTTGAGAGCTGTGAAGGCTTTGTTGACCATGGTGGACTCCTTCACTCCAAAGGAAAGAAGCGCTGGAAAATAAAAACTCAAAACTGGATAAGCCCCTTGGATGATACTGGGTAGACATTACTGGGGAGAGTGGAAAAGGGGGGCAGTGGTAAATTCAGGACAACTTGCAGATTTCTCCAGATTCCCATTCTATGCTCAGGGAAATGGTAAAGCCATCAGAGGAGTCAGCCCCATCCTGAAGAGCCCACAGTGAGGTGAGGAGCTCATCCTATCTGACAGAGGGTGGCACAGAGGGAGGCATCCTACCTGCCAGCAGGACCACCAGACCAGCAGCAAAGGCATCTGGGTGCTCTGCCAGCCCCACAGAGCTCATGGCTGCGTGAGCACCCAAAAACCTCCCCATCTTCTTGCCGAGGAGCTGGTCAAAGGTAGAGCTCCAGGCGCGGGCAACGCTGGCAGTGCCTGGGGAGAGGTGATGGCTGTGTCCTGGTGGTCCTGCAAGGTCTCAAAGGACACCTAGCAAAGCCACCAACACAGCGGTGGGAGAGATCAAGAGGGTCTTATACCGATGACGTAGGACAGCAGCAGGTTCCACCCAGCCAGGAAGGCCCAGAGCTCGCCCACTGTCACGTAGCTGTAGAGGTAGGCAGAGCCAGCCAGGGGCACGCGGGCCCCAAACTCGGCGTAGCACAGCCCTGCCAGGGCAGACACCACGGCTGCAATCAGGAAAGAAAGGACGATGCTCGGGCCAGAGCTGCTCTTGGCCACCTCCCCTGCCAGGACGTAGACACCAGCCCCCAGCGTGCTGCCCACTCCCAAGGCAACCAGATCCACGGCGGAGAGGCAGCGGAGGAGGCTGGAGCCCTCTGAGCTGGCTGGGATTCGCTTCCTGCGGGACAGCAGCTTGGGAACAGAGCGCAGCTGGCCCCAGCACGGCACCTGCAGGAGAGGAAAGCAGCAGGCGTGAGGACACTGCTGCCCCAGGGGCACTGACCACCCCAAAGTGACACAAGCCAGCCTCGGTGGTTGGCTTGCAGCATCCGTAGTGCTCCTGGACTCGCTGGGTGCTGCCTGCTCTCTGTCCCTGCCAGTGAAACAGCCCATTTGGAGCACGATGGGGCTCAAGCAGCTGTGCTGCTCTCTCATCCCCAGTGACAAGTGGAGCTCTGCATGGGGTTTGTTTGGCTCTGTCCAATTTGTGAGAGGGGACAAGGACACGTGTTTGACCCCCTGCCAGCTCAGAAAGCCCTGTTGTTCCAGCAGCCTCCTCAGCAGGGATGCACAGTCAGGATTATCCCAGATTTGACACTGAAACTATTTGAAATATAGAACCCATGCCAGAGGAGGAAGGATGGGAGATGCTCTGCTCCTGGAAATTGCCTTGAAGTGCACCAGGAAGGACCCACCTGCTGAGCTGGAGATGCTCCCACAGAACCTGTAACTGTGGGTCAATGGCACAGCTCAGGGGGAGACTGGATCCCCTGGGCCATCAGCCTGTGCAGTAATGCTTTTGGCTTGCTGGGGACGCCACTGGGGATGTCAGCCTGGCAGAAACCCCAGTTTGTGTGACATCTGTGCTTGGGGGAAGGGGGGCTTGGTATAGCGTGCCTGGGATTTGTGTGCCTTCCCCCATCCTGCACATCTTTTCCCAGGAGCTCCAGGACTGGAGAACCTGCATTCACATCCCATGTGCTGTCAGGACCTCCAGGTTACCCCACAGCAAAGCAAAAGCCGTGCCACACACTCCAAATGCCATCACTGCTACTTACATGGCTGGAAACCCTGCGCAGCGGCACATCCCTGCAGGACAGGGGACATTGATCCCTGCTGGAGGGGACAGGGACAGCCCTGCCCGGCACCCAGACCCGCAGGATGAGGCTTTCCTGGTGGAACAGGGAGCTCCAATTCTCCGGGACAAATGCCCTGGGGGTGAGGAGCCGCCCCCCCAGCAGCACCCACCCACTGCACAACCCCAGTCCCGCCCAGGGCACCTCGCCCCGGCGATTTTCCCTTCTCCTGCTAACAAATTACTCACCCCAGCCATCCTCCTCTCCAGCGGTGAGCTGCTGAGGACAAGGAGCACCCGGCATGCCCCCCTTACACTCTCCCCTTAAATCCCTTTTGGGAGCACCCTGGCCCTCCCCCCGCTGACCACCGCTCCGGGCTGCACAATGGGAAATCTGTGCAGAAATATTTTTCCCACAACGCCTTCCAAATCATACACACAGCCTGCCATGCTAATAGGCTCAGAAGCATTATTGAGGGAGTTTAATTCACTTTTCCAAGCTCCCTGGGCAGGTGGAAGGGGGAAACTCTTTCCCTCTGTTCCTGCTCCTTGCACCAGGACCCACATTTCAGTCTGTGGAGCTGGTTTTGGAGGAAATTCAGGCAGAGGAGCAGTAACAAGGCTGGGTTGGGGTTTAGGAGTGTGTGCACCTACAGCTATGACTGACCCCAGCTGCCTCTGGGGAACACAGAGGTGAACAGGTCCCTAAATGGACTGCAGCAGCAAGGCAGAGGAGCACAGACCCAGTTCCATGGGATGTTTGCAGCAGCATGTCCAGCTGAAACTCCCCAAAGCAAAATCCTGAGGCTTCTTGCACTTCCCTGGTATCTGGGCATCCCTGGGGTGCAGCTCATGGGGGCTGAGCAGAAGAGTGAAAGCAGGGGCAGGGATAAGTCCAGGGCTGGGCTTAAATGAGCGCACAGGGCTGTGTGGATGGAGGTCCCAGGTGAGGTTCCTTGGGGCCAAGGCACATGAGTGTCCTTGGGCAGCAGCATTGCTGTTCTGCACGGCTGCTCCTGGCCAGGAGAGGCCATGGAGGAAGTGATGGGGTGACCTGGTTGGTCATCAGCATCCTGGGAGAAGAGAACCAAGTCTGGGCTCTGAGGAGAGGTTGGGAGAAGTGTTTTGGTGTGAAGAGTTAACTTTGATTTTATTGTAGGTAGCGCTCAGGCTGAGTCTGTTTACAGTATTTTGAGACAAAAACTCTCAGGCTGTGGCTCAGCCCATCCTCCAGCTTTCAGCTTGCAAGGAGCAGAGGAAGGGAGCAGGAGCCAAGCAAGGAAGGATCCAGAGCATCTAAAGCATAGATGTACACTCCAACCTCAAGGCTGCCTTGTCCTGGCTCTATGGGGCAGCCCCATATCTAGAGACCCTGTGAGCTGCTGGGCACTGTGAGCACCTCTGGGGCAGGGGGGCTCAGCACACCAGCCAGGGAGAGCAGGGCTGCTGTCCCACGCTGCAGCACAGGGTGAACAAAGCCGTGCTTGTCACCCACGCCATCTCACATGAGCGAGGTCTCCAGATACCAGTGCCAGCCTAAGGGAACATTGCTCTGAGGGAAAAACAGGGCAGGAAGGAGCAGCCAGGAAGGAGGCCCTGAGGGTCTCACCCTGCCGGGCTCCTCCAGGGGAGCACAGCCCCATGGCTGCAAGCCAGCCATCCTGGGGCGCATGCTGCCCCAGACAGGCAGGGCTGAGCAGCTCAGCTGCCTTGCAGCCCCAGAGAGATGCTCAAGCCAGTGGGTACCACCAGGGCTGGGATGCCTGAAAGGTTACACACCAGCAGCCTTCAGCATCTCCAGGAGTCCCTTGGGGTTTTCTGCTCTGGCTGGTGTCAGACTCCCGCGGCTCTTGTGATTCCCCGCTAGCTCCTCCAGCCCTGCCCTGTCTCTGTGCTGGCTGGGTGGTGGCAAAGAAGGAGCCGGGTTAAACGTGGGTGAGGCAGGGAAGGAAACGGCCTCAGGGCAGTGCAGGCAACGGTACAGCCTGCCAGGAGCATCCTGGAGAGACTCAGCCTGCATCTCATCGGTGTCTGCAGCATGGGAAGAGAAGCCTGGGGGAAAACCAGCTCATTGCGCCAGCTCGAGTCCTGCCCCGTGGGCGCTCATTGCAGAGCCTTGGTCAGCACCTCCCTCCTTAAGCGGGTCCTGGGGCACCAAGGCCAGGCCGTTCTTCCCTCCTCTGACTCCTGCAGAGAGTCAGGGACGGACATTTCCCAGCCATGAGCAGGGAAGGGCTGATTTGGGGTGATTTGGTGCAGGAGGAGGTGGCTGGCGGCAGGACCGGGAGGCAGTGGGGTACCCTGCGCCTGGTGTTCACCAGGAAACCACAGCGGGGGACAGAAGGGGTGACATTTCCGCAGCTGAAATGCAACCACCGGTATTGCCTGGCAGCGTGCGTGTGGCACTGTGCCACGGCCACTGCCAGAGTGCCCCTGCACACACAGTGGGGCTCTTGTGCCAGGAGACCCCCTTCTCCACAGCCGGGCAGGGCAGGCTGATTTTGGGGCACACCGGGTACCGCCGCACCACGGGTAATTTTGGGTGACACCGGGTACCGCTGCACCGCGGGTGATTTTGGGTGACATTGGGTGACACCGGGTACCGCCGCACCGCCGGTGATTTTGGCTGACACCGGGCACCGCCGCACCGCGGGTGATTTTGGCTGACACCGGGTACCGCCGCACCGCGGGCACCCGGCCGAGGTCTGGCGCGGCTCCGGGGTGGGATGTGGCCCCGGCCATGGCAGGCGGGGACTCGGGGCTGGTGACGTCTCGCCGTGAGGAAACAGCTGCTCGCCAAGGACGAGCGCCCGGCCCCAAGAACAGCCCGAGCGCGGCGGCGGCTCCTGCGCGCACCGAGAGGCTCCGCGCTGCGGTCAGTGCCCGCTGCGGGCCGGGGCACTGCGGGCTGCGGGCACGGGGTGCGGGGCGGGGAGCCCCACGGGGCCGGGCACTTTTTTCCGCAATGGCCTGGGGGGAGGAAAGTCGTGGAAAGCCCTGGCTGCTCTTGGCGGTGAGCTGTGCAAGCGGAGGCTCCCTCTAAGGGGTGGCTGCAGGGGGAATCCCTGGGTTTTTTTTTTCTTTTTATGAAAAAGCTTTCCTTCTCGACAAGCCCCCGGGGGCTCCGCTGCCGGCGGGCGCTGGCGGGGCTGCGGGTCCCTCTGGGTGTGTCCCGGCCGGGATGTAGTCCGTGCTTTGGTGCTGCGGCGCCTGCGGAAACACCCATCCTTCCTTCCAGCGGGATCCAGGCTGAGGATCCCCCTTGCTTTGGTACCCACCAAGTTTTGCACAGCTGAACGCAGCCCACGACAGCCCAGAGGCTCGGAGCTCCTGAAGGCCTGGGAGGCTTTCTGGCAGTGGGGTGGGGCAGGGCGTTTTGGGGAAGTCCCTAGCCCTATCAGGAGGATGGTCCGGTACCTTTTTACCCTAGGGAAGCTCCCTGTGCTTCAGGACAGCGGGTGGCGGGGCGCTGGGTGTTGTGGCCTGTGTGCTGGGGAGCCCCTCGGCCAGTCGGGCTCTGGGGGTGCAGCCCTGAGCTCACACCTTTGGGGGGCTTTGGAGAGCCTGGAGATGTGCCCTGCTGGCCGAACAGAGGCTTCCATCAAGGCCGTGCGCATCAATTAGGATTTCTCACGGGATCCCCATAACCCACGTTTCTCCGTTGCTGGGTGGGGGGCTGGTGTACCCCATGCTGGGCCATTGCTGCCCAGTGGGTGGGGTGTGTTTGTGCGGGGATTTTCCTGGGGCTGCTCTCCGGGGACCCGTGGAGGTGTCCGAGCAGCGGGGGACAGGGACGGGGCACTACAAGGACAGGTCGGGGACTGGGTGTGGTCGGCGATTCTCCACCACTGCTGAGATGAGTTGGGTGTTCTCAGCCCCGCTGCCACACGCGTGGGGCTGTGCCATGCTCGGATTTTCCCCTGCCCAGGAGGGCACAGATTCCCGTACAGGCTCCGAAGTGGCATGAACAGGCTGCTCGTGCCAGGGGTGGGATCCCTTGGCACCCACCCAGCATCTGGCCGCAGTGCGGCCCCACTGCGTGTGGGGCATGTGGGGGCTGCCCCCGGCCAGCAGCCACGGGAAGGGGTGAGGCTCACAGCCTCCCCAGCTGCAGGGGGAAGGAGAGGTGAAAGCAGCTCTGCGTTTCTGCAAAACTCTCTCCTCTCAACCGTGGTGCCTGTGGGTGCTTTTAAAAGCTTCCTGTACCCAAGCAGGGGGACTCGGCTGCGCACATGGCTGCAGGGCTGGGTCTCCCTTTGCACGGGAGCTCCTGCAGGGATGTGCAGCCAAGCCAGGGAAGTTCATGTGATTTCTCCTGCTCGCTCCATGGCATGAAACCGAACTCCTCTGGGGTCAGAAATCCCCCAGCGTGGCCCTGCTCTGCTCGGAGTTTTTCTGCTACGTGTCTCAGAGGGAGGGTGAAGGAGCCAGGCGGGGCCGTGCCTCATGGCTGGCCTCAGCTGACGCTCAGCGGTTCATTCATGGCCGGGCTCCATTTTCCAGCTGTTTTTCTCCCTCTACCAGCTTCTTCGGAGCAAATGGCGCTGTTGGGGGTGGGGAGAGCCCACACCGCAGTGGGTTGCAGTTATAAATGGTGCTGGTGTTAGAAAACAACCTGCAAGTTACCCTGGAAACCCCGCTGTGTTTTCTGGTCTCCAAGGATGTGTGGGACTGGTGGTGGCCTTGATTGTTGCACAGAAACTCAGATAACAGCTCGGGGGATATTGTAGGGGCTGCCCAGCACCATGAGACAAGGAAAAGTCCCCAGCAGCTGCTGAAGCTGGGATGGCCTGAGAGCCTGGGGCTTCAGAGGAGCAGAAGGGACACTGAGAGGTGCAGTGAGAAGGCCCAGCCCTGGGGAGGATGCTCAGCCTATTTCCACATATTCAGCATATTTTTTCCCCTCTGGTTTCTCTTGGTACTGACAGGAAGCTGTGCAGGCTCTGTGCTGCCCCTGGCCTGTGGGGTGCCCTCAGTGCCAGATAGCAAAGGCTCAAAAACCACAGGGTGGCCAGCAAAGCCCCTCTCCCTGATCCATCCTGCAGCACCTGGCAGTGCTCTCCCATGGGCACCACCCCCAGGAGGGAGCAAACCTTCCCTTCACTAACACAACCTGCAGAGAGGGGCCTTGGCTCACCTTGACCTTTCTGTTCCCTTCCACAGCTCCTCCTTGCCCTCGCTCCAGTGATTTCCAGCTTGGGAACCAACCATGGCACCCCAAGGAAAGGTAAGGGTGACCTCCACTTGTCAGGGGTGGGTCCAGGGCAGGCCCAGAGCTGGGGCAGTATCTCCAGCAGCAGCAGG